CATGAGGGGTTCCATAAGGACAGAGCAGGGCCCACACTTTTTTCAGCTCCTGCCTTCTGCCAGAAGACCTGAGCTGTGGTTTAGCTCTGACGAGGCTCTTACACTTCTCTGAGCTTTGGCTCCCTCAACTATAATAAAACAGAGAATTAACAGTTACCTGCTGTGGAGGACAGAAGGAAATAACCCATGGCTGGCTTCTTGAGTCATGAATCCCATTTTCACTGGGAAGACTGAGACACAGAGAAGTTAAATATCCTACTCCACCCCCAAGAATGGGATTGGCACTCAAAAATTGTGACTCCCAGCCTCTTCATCTTAGAGATGGTGACACCACTGACCTTGAGAGTGGGCACCGTGAAAATTAAAGCGGACTTAAGAAGTAGATTTTAAAAGCCAAGTGCCCAGCTCAGCGACTGATGCCATTGTCTCACGCCTGTAATCCTAGCTATTCAGGAAGTTGAATTCTGAGGATCGCAGTTCAAAGCCAGAAAAGGGGCAGAAAAGTCCATGAGACTGTAATTAACCACAAAAAAGCCAGAAGTATAGCTGTAGCTCAAATGGTAGAGCTCCAAGACCGGCAATATATATATGTGTGTGTGCGTGTGTATATATATATATATACACACACACACACATATATATGTATATATAAATATAAAAACATATATATGACACAAACATATATGTATATATATTTATATATACATACATATATATATATATATATAAAATATATGTATATATATTTATATATACATACATATATATATATATATATAAAAGCTTCCCTATCTTTTTTTTTTTTTTGCTTATGTGGTGCTGAGGAGTCGAACCCAGGGCCTCATGCATGCAAGTGCTCTACCACTGAGCCACCTTCCCAGCAAAAGCTTCCCTATCCTTATACAAATGCTCCCAGAGTCTAAGCCTGAGAAGTGATTGGCAGGGTCATGGCGCCACCCAGTGGCCACTCTGGGAACTGCACGCGCCCCGCCCCACCCGCCCCGCCCGACGGGCCCGCGCAGGCGCCCGGGCGGCTCCCGCTCTTCCCGCAGCCCGGGTCCGGGGAGCCGTCCTGCGGGGCTCTCCCCCGGGAGCAGCGGTGAGGGGAAGGTCGGCGGCGGGTTCTCACGGCCCCGAGGTCCTCTCCGCCCCGCACCTTTGCACGAGCTGTTCCCTCGGCCTGGTGCTTGCAGGCCGCCCGACGCGGCGGCTCCAGGGCCGCGGCCCTAACTGTTTAGACGGGGCAGAGAGGAGACCGTTTCCGGGAGTCCGTGGAGGGGCACGATGAGAACCCGCGTTCTTCCCTCTCACAGGCCCAGGGAGCAGCTCAAGAAGGGGTTTACCGGCCCAGGAAACTAAGCTCGGAGAGGATGTGCAGTCGCTTCGCCCTGGGTCGGGGCGGGGCGGGGCAGGGACAGAGACCGAGGCTCGGAAGGACTGCCAGCACCGGGTTCTAATCCAGAGCCGACCGGGAGCGCGACGGCCCTGCCCAAACCCCGCCCTCAGGCGGGACTTCCTCCTCTCCGGCCCTTCCCCAGCAGGCTGGGCAAGGAAGTCCCGCCCGCTTAGCTCCTCCCACTCCCGGGGGGTGGTATTTGGGTGTTGCCAGGGAGACCAAGGAGGCCTGGGACGGGGCGTCCACTTCCCAGGGCGCTTTCCCGGACGCTCAGCGATGGCTCCTCCTGGCCCCTTCCTTCCCATTTCTTTCCTTCACAGCCTTTAATGCAATTTCAAAGCAGCCTCCGTGTTTACTTGTGTACTGAGATCCCGTTACTTAAGATCTGCCTTGTGAACTTGGGTCAAGCATCACAATGGTTTCTACCACCTAGCCCTCTTCTTTTCTTTTCCCTTCCTTCCTTCCTTCCTTTCTTCCTTCCTTCCTTCCTTTCCTTTTTTTAAAAAACTACTTGGGTTTGAACTTAGCTTCCTGTTTGCTACCCAGATTCTTTACCTATTAAGCCAGGACCCTAGCCATTCTGGAGGGCTAAATAACCTACTTCAGGTTATTTTGGAATGGAAACTCAAGTTTTTGCCCAGTAGTCAGCTTCAAACTTTGATCCTCATATCTGTTACACCTTCTAAGTAGCTGGGATTACAAGTGTGAGCAACAGCTCAAGGGTAGAGCCCCTAGTGTGTAAAACATTGGTAGGCATACAGTGAACGAAAGCATGAATGGATGATATAACCCATAATCAAATACTGAATCAGACACTCCTATAATTTAGCTTCCTAATATTTAAATGAAATAAAACTTTTTTTAAAAGTTCTTTTAAAAAATCACTAGGAGAAGCTTGGCACTTGTGGCTCACATCTGTAATCTTAGCTACTCAAGAGACTAAGATCTGAGGATCCCAATTTAAAGCCAGCTCAGGTAGGAAAGTCTGTCTTATCTGCAATGTAACACACACACACACACACACACTGGGAAGTGGAGCTTGGCTTAAGTGTAGAGTGCTAGCCTTGATCAAAAAAGCTCAAGGACAGTATCCAGGCTCTGAGTTCAAGCCTCAGGCCTGACACAATTTTTTTTAAAAACTAGGAGTGGAAAAAAAAAGTCTTCATTATGCCAAGACTTCAGTATTTCTGCCTCGTCCCAAAGCCAGACGCTGGGATCTAATACTCCTCAAACTGCCCTGTGGTGCACTGGCTGTCAGAGCTGAGTGGTCTGGGTGCACCCATGTCTCTGCTCCTGGGCTGACCTCTGGACCCCTGGATTGGCAAAGAGAAGAACCAATGTTTCCTCTTGTCCTCAGTTTACCCCTGCTCCAAGGTAAGGAGTCTCAAAGGCCTTAGGAGCCAGCCTGGTCTATTACTAACACAGCAAGCATATACTGAGCTCCTACTGTATCAGCCTTAGTGCTAAGCCCCTGAGGAAAACAAGATGTTATTTAACATCTTCACACTCACCCTAGCAGGCAGTTACTGTCCACTTCACAGATGGGCAAGGGGCCTCACTGAGTCACCCAAACAAGGAACACGGATGGAATTTTAATCACTTTTCCTCATGTCAAAATTCTTATCCCTTAATGGACCGGGGGGCCCAGTTGACTTCAGTGAGTACAGGCTGTCCTGTGTGCATGGGACACTTGTGAAACCCTGTGTGCCCACTGTGAATGTGAAGACACTGTGTTTCCCATATCATCTGGCAGATGAGCTTGCCAGAAGCCTTGAGGGGTAGGGGGTGCTCTGAATAGACAGCTCCACGGCCAGGATCATCCTCCTCTTCTTCCTCCTCCCCGTTCCCCTCCCCCCCTCCACCTCTCCTCCTTCTCCTTCTCTTTCTCCTCCTTCTCCTTTTTTTTTTGTTGGTTGTGAAGCTTGAACTCTGGGCTTGGGCACTGTCCCTCAGCTCTTCAGCTCAAGGCAAGTGCTCTACCGCTTGAGCCACAGCGCCACTTCTGGTTTTCTAGTGGTTTATTGGAGATAAGAGTCTCACAGATTTTCCTGCCTGGGCTGGCTTTGAACCTCCATCCTCAGATCTCAGCCTCCTGAGTAGCTAGGATTACAGGTGTGAGTCACCAACTCCCGGCTCCTTGTTCTTCTTGAGTGTAAGCAGTTGGGTTTTTTCTAGAACCAGGCTCACCATATAGAAGAGGACTGATCTGGGAGTATCCTGAACATTCTCTGGGGCACTGCTCCTTCTGTGCATCACCAGCTTAGATGCCCAGGGACGGAGAGCCCTGTATGTCTGCAGAATCTACATGGCAGCCAGGGCCAGGTCATCAGCCAGTCCCCAACCTCTCCATGCCCAAGAGAATACCTTGGGGAGATCCCACAGGGCCACGGATGTTTCTGGTTCTTTTCCCCTGCCTGGAAGCTCAGACGTGTTCTCACAACTTGCTCTGACTCATGAAGCATTAGCTAAGTTCATTTGACTGTCTCCTTGGCAGAAGCTTCTGGATGGAGGCTCAGGTGGGGTTCTCAGTGCTTTGCTCTGCTCTGGGCCAAATTCAGCCCAGGGAGGCTCCCCCGCCCCACCTTCCCCAGCTACAAGTGACCAGAGTAGCTGAGTGCTGAGTGGTTAGTACACATGCTGGGGGCAAAACCACAAGGTCCAACCCTCAGCTCTGTGACCAGAGCCCCTTTCTGCAGTTCCTAGTGTCTTAGTTTCGCTATATGTGAAACAGGGAATCCTGATGCCTAACCCATAGTGCTCCAAGGTTAAATGAGATGGACTCTCATAGTCTCCACACAGGGCTTAGCAGGTAGTCAGCCCTCAGCAGACATTAGCTCTCAGGAGAATAGGATAGAAGCAAAAGGGGTTTTGTCTAGGGAATTTGTCTTATGCCTCTTTCACCTGTCCTCTGGGGTAGACCCATCTACCCTTCTAGACCTGGGCAAACACAAGGATTGGGCGAGGAGAGAGTAACTGAAGACCATGGAGAGGGGCAGACCCTCATCATAATGGCACCCAGGAGTTAGGCTATGAGGAGCCCCGGCAGTGTGATGTCTGATGACTTTGAGCTTGGTGTTTCTGAGTCCTAGAGAGGTAGAGAGGGAAACTGAGGCAAGAGGAATCAACTACCACAATGAAGGCACTGAGAGCTGAACGGAAGTCCCCTCCGGTCTATCTTTGGGGTCGCTGGATGCACAGGACATGTTTTAATCTTGTATGTTCCACCCTCCAGCCAGATGTAGCTCCCTGTGGGGAGCAGCCCAGGAAGGAAGAAAACCCCCAGACCACAGGGAAGGCCCTTCACGTAGACTCACCAACTGCAGGGCAAAGTGGGAGGTTTTATTGAAAGCCTAAGCAGCTCAGCCCGGGATCAGCATAGGCCCTGCTGCTCAGTCCCAGCGTCAAGCATGACAAGGCTTGCCAGCCTCACAGTGGCTGGGCCCTTTCTGGGGGTGGGAACAGGTGGGGAAAAGGGGGGATGGCAGGAGAGGGACTTGGCGTGGGCGCTACAGGGATTCAAGGCCAAGGACTGTGTGTGTGTGTGGCCAGCCGATCCTCTCCTGAGCCTAGTCTGGCTTCTTTTGACAGCGACTGTTTCTGTCACTCAAGTGCTCAGCACCAGAAGGTCCTGGAAGGGTAAGAACAGAGAACCAGGTGAGCAGGGGGCTGTGGCTATAGCCTGGGCCAGACACACACACACACCCCTGGCTTTGGTGTATGCCAGGCTGGTTCCGATTTCCCAATCCTGTTGTTTAAGGGAGTGTCGCCAGCAGACAATGAAATGTGCTCCTTTTCACGTCTCCCTTGTCCCCAGTGTCACGTGGGGAGATGAAGGTCCTGCAGGGGCTCAGGCCCCGGCCCTCACTGCCACCTCCTTTGGCTGCTCCTGTGATGAGGTGGGGGTGGGGGATGGGAAGGTTCCTGGGCAGGGGTCCAGGTCCGGTGCCTGAGCAAGAAGCCGAGCCCCAAGCCACCGAGACAGCCTCGTCATTGGGCACTGAGTTTAATTTGCACAAGTTCCCTCCATTTCATTTCTGGAGTGTTCCAAGGAAGTTAACTCTGGACCCAGAGTCAGTTTGGGGCACCAAGATGTTCCTGGCAGTGTGTTTGATCATGGTGACACTGGTAATGGTGGAGGATTCCAGAATGCCTACCATGTTCCAGGACCTGTGCAAGCACTTTGTATCTAGAGAAACGTTATCCTTGATGCAGCCCCATGGCTAAGTGCTATGACTGGCTCTTTTTATAAGGCTAGCGCTCTACCACTTTGAGCCACAGTACCTTCTGCTCGCACCTGTCTTTCTAGAATTTTCTTTTTTTTTTTTTCTTTGGGTCTGGTCATGGGGCCTGAACTCTGGGCCTGGCGCTGTTCCTGAGCTCTTCAGCTCAAGGCTAGCACTCTACCACTTGAGCCATAGCGCCACTTCTGACTTTTTTCTTATGTGGTGCTGAGGAATTGAACCCAGGGCTTCATGCATGTAAGGCAAGTGTTCTACCACTGAGCCACCTTCCCAGCCCTAGAATTTTCTTTTTCTTTCCTTTTTTTTTTTTTTTTGTCGGTTGTGAGGCTCAAACTCTGGGCCTGGGCGATGTCCCTCAGCTTTTCAGCTCAAGGCGAGCATTCTACCACTTGAGCCACAGCGCCACTTCCAGTTTTCTGGTTATTTATTGGAGATGAGTCTCATGGACCTTTCTGCCAGGGTGGCTTTGAACAGTGATCCTCAGATCTCAGCCTCCTGAGTAGCTAGGATTACAGGCATGAACCACCAACACTGGCTTTTATCTTTAAACATGGCTTTGGTCTAGATGTCAGGTGGTCAAGAGAACGCAGGGGTATAGAATGAGGGCATGGAGCACATTGCCGTGTCCAAATCCTGCCTCTGCTTGTTGCAGCCCGGTGGCCCTGGGCAAGCTGCCTAACTTTTTTGAACTTCCCCCCCTGCTCATTTTTTTTTTTGTCAGTCATGGGGCTTGAACTCAGGGCCTGGGCACTGTGAGTTTTTACAATCAAGGCTAGTGCTCTACCACTTTGAGCCACAGCGCCACTTCGTTTTCTGGTGGTTAATTGGAGAGAAGAGTCTCACAGACTTTCCCCCTGGCTTGGATTTGAACCATGATCCTCAGATCTCAGCCTTCTGAGTAGGTAGGATGACAGGCATGAGCCACCAGGACCAGGCAGGTCTGACCTTTTATAGTAGCCAAAGTTGAGGGCAAAGGGGAGAGAGTGGATTCAGAGCCAGCTCTATCTTCCCTTACCTCCAATACGTCGATATCAGCGTTGCTGAAATCAATGTTGAGGATTTTGGGGAGAGGGACCCCAGAACCCAGCACAGCTGAAAAGAAAAAAAAAGTCAGGTATGGTCAGTTTGGCCAAGAGATGTCACGATTTCTCCTCAGCCTCTGAGCCTTTGTCACAGCAGGATCTCCTGCGGGAGCACCCTGATTGCCAGTCATCACCATGGCCGCTCTGGTGAATTCCAAGCCTTCGCCAAGGCCCTGTGCCTTGTCCTGTGCTCTGTGGGGCTTCCTGACCCTGGGCAGCTTAGCTGTGTCCCCTCCCAGCCCTGACCCTCTCCTGGGAAAGAGACAACAAAGCACTAACCTCTGTGACTGGGCTGTTGCCCCTAGCCTCTCTCCGTTCCCTGAATCCCTGGCTTCCTGGAGCCCTCGGCCCAGCACAGAGAAGAGCGAGGACATGTGCTGAGTGAAGGGAAGGATGCACACGTGGCCTGAGACAGGAGAGCCACGGGGCTGGCTGTCTGCGCTTGAGCCACTAGCTGGCTCAAGTTCTAGAAATTCGCGAGGAGAGGAGGAAGGGTAAGGAAAGACTGAGGATATAAACAGACTTTATTTTTGTTTTGTTTTTGTCGGGCATGGGGCCTGAACTCTGGGCCTGGGCACTGTCCCTCAGCTCTTCAGCTCAAGGCTAGCGCTCTACCACTTGAGCCACAGCACCACTTCTGGTTTTCTGGTGATTTATTGGAGATGAGTCTCATGGACTTTCCTGCCCAGGCTGGCTTTGAACCGTGATCCTCAGATCTCAGTCTCCTGAGTAGCTAGGATTACAGGTGTGAGCTACCTGCACCCACCTAAACAGACTTCTTGACCCAGGCAAGACTTTGCCAAGAGCCAAGGACCTTGTGAATCTAATGAGCATTTCTTTTTTTTTTTTGGGTCCAGTAGTGGGGCCTGAACTCTGGGCCTGGGCGCTGTCCCTCAGCTCTTCAGCTCAAGGCTAGCGCTCTACCACTTGAGCCACAGCACCACTTCTGGTTTTCTGGTGATTTATTGGAGATGAGTCTCATGGACTTTCCTGCCCAGGCTGGCTTTGAACCGTGATCCTCAGATCTCAGTCTCCTGAGTAGCTAGGATTACAGGTGTGAGCTACCTGCACCCACCTAAACAGACTTCTTGACCCAGGCAAGACTTTGCCAAGAGCCAAGGACCTTGTGAATCTAATGAGCATTTCTTTTTTTTTTTTGGGTCCAGTAGTGGGGCCTGAACTCTGGGCCTGGGCGCTGTCCCTCAGCTCTTCAGCTCAAGGCTATTGCTCTACCATTTGAGCCACAGCGCCACATCCGGCTTTTTTCTTTTTTGCTTATGTGGTGCTGAGGAATCGAACCCAGGGCCTCATGCATGCAAGGCAAGCGCTCTACCACTGAGCCACCTTCCCAGCCCCTCTAATGAGCATTTCTCAATCTTGTTTGGCCATGGAACCCCTTTCTCAGGGCATTTGGTGCAATTACTGTTTTAGGTACCCCACTTTGGGAATCATGGTTCTCATCCACACTCTCACAGTTGCAGGTGAGAAGTTGCATTTCTGGGAGATGGTTATCACTTGCCTCAAGTGTCCACTACCAATGAGTGTCCAGGCCTGGTCAGGCTTTCCAGGGCTTGCCTTCCAGGCCAGCCCAGCCTCTCAGAGATGGGCACAGGCCTTGCCACCAGCTCTTTTTCCCATGGAGTCCCTGTTTCCCTGGCAATGGGTCCCACAATAAGAGCTGGTTTGACATCAAGGTTGCCAAAGGGGTTTGATTGGCATAAACAATGATGTCAGTGGGACCATACCAAGCTTCCTTGCCCTCTCCTCCCTGAAGCAGGGGTAGGGAGGGAGGTGGGGCTGAGATCTTGGGACTCAGAGGGGCTTCACCCTCCCGATAATCCACAGTCCACAAGTAGCTGCCAGAAAGCATTGGGAGAACAAAGGCCTAATCAGTCCCATTCAGGAAGTAAGCCAGCTGACCTCTGGCTGAGAACAATGAACCACAAAAAGCAGGAAGCAGAGCTGTGGCTCCAGTGACAGAGCACCAGTCTTGAGCACAAAAGCTCTGGCACAGCACTCAGGCTGAGTTCAAGTCCCCAGACTACAAAACAAACAATAAAGGTTTGAATGCTAGTATAGTGGCTAGCCCTCTACCACTTTGAGCCTCAGCTCCACTTCCTGTTTGGGGGAGGTTAATAGGAGATAAGAGGCTCAGAGACTTTCCTGCCTGGGCTAGCTTTGAGCCCTAGCTGGGCTAGGATTACAGGTATGTGCTACTAGCACCCAGCCTTAAAAAAAAAATCTTAACTAAAACAAAACAAAACTTTCTAGTGCTGGTACTGGGACTGAACTCAGGGCTAGAACACTCTCCCTTAGCTTTTTCAGTCAAGGCTGGTGCTCTACTACTTGAAGCACTTGATCCATAGTTTTACTTCCAGCTTTTTTACTGGTTAAATGGAGATGAAAATCTCACTGGCTTATCTACCAGGTTGTCTTCAAACCACAATCCTTAGATCTTAGTCTTCTGGGTACTAGGGTTAGAGGAATAAGCCAGTCAATCTGGCTTAATGAATTCATTCCTTTTAAACATGGAACACAGGTGTGTGTATAGTGACTTAAATCAATAAACATTAGCCAGGCCCTGGTGGTCATGTCTATAATCCTAGTTACTCAGGAAGCTAAGACCTGGAGGATTAGAGTTCCATGTTAGCCTGGGCAGAAAGTCCACAAGTCTCCATTCCCTAATTTACCAGCAAAAATCCAGGCTGGAGGCTCAAGTGGTAGAGCAGAGCAATGATCAAGAAAGTTGAGCAAGCATGAGGCTCGAGTTCCAGCCCCAGCAAAATTGATAACATTGGCTGAAGTTTTCAGATTGCTACTGACATCATTCAGTCATGTACGCGCCACCCCCCATTTCCAACAAACCAGTAGTCAGAGAACCCCCAGCCACGGGTCCCCAGAGAGGTGCAGGTACCCACTCTCACCATTCATCGCAGGCATAAAGGCCAGGTCAAAAATCTTGCCAACTAGTCTCTCCATGATGGACACCTGCAGAGGAAGAACGAGAACCGGCCTTGGCTTGGGGCCATGAAGCCTCAGTTTTTCCATCTGCCCTCATAAAACCACACCTGGCAGCAGCCATGCCCACTGCTTGGAATTTGCAACCTTGCTGGGCCCAGCTAACCCCACGCGACACTGGGCACCATGCCCAAGGGGCTGGCCCTGAGCAGGTACTTACATCGAAGTTGCCCACATTTGAGGTTTTGAGGTTGAGTTCTGCCCTGTGGGTAAAGATTGGCAGTCCATTAGAAGCAGCAACTACCTGGGAGTCAGAGGGCGCTTGCGTTTGAACCAGCCATCTGAAACCCTCCACTGACACACACCCTCCGGAGGCTCTTGTCCTGGGAGTTCATAAAAACGAGGCTGGTTTTCCCCAGCTGAGCACTGACTGTGGGCCCGAGGCATGCCATGCACACGCCGTGCCAAGAGCTTTTACACACCCTACATAGGCCTTTAACTGTAGCTTTGCCACCTAGCTTTGACCCTAGCTAAGCTGCTTCTCTCTGCAGGCCTCAGTGTCCTCATCTGCAGGGTGGGTGGCTTCTGGGACTAAATGAAGGGTTCACCAAGACCTTGGAACCATGAGCAGTTGGTGCCCTGCATGGACAGTAATCATTACTACCTCACTGAGTCTTCCCAGCACCTCAGGAACAGACACCCTGAGGCTTTGAGGTAAGAGGCCCAGCCACCGAGTTGAAGGTAGGTAGGGACTCAGGACTCACAACCTGGGCCTGCATTCTCTCTCCTGCCGCACTATTCTGAGGAGGGAGGCCTGGCTGGGAGGTCTCACCTCACCCCAGCTCTACCTGGGAGACCAGACCAGACTAATCTATGGGTAGAAATCACTGATGGTGGTTCAAAAGGAGGGGGTCAGCATCCAGCGAGACCCCAGGAGCCTGCTCACGGGAGACTCTCCACTTCCTTCCTGACCTCCACACCTACCCCCAGTCCATCCCTCTCCCTCTACTCCTCCCAACTCCTTTCCCTCTCTGTGAAGTTTGGCCACACTCTCTCCCTGCTGGAGCCCCCCTCTTTTCCTCACTGGCCCCTTTTCTTCATCCATGCCTCAGCTGACCACTTCTGCATAGAAGCTGGCTGGCTTGACAGGCACCCTCTGATCAGCATTCCCTGTTTTGGGGCTTCAAAATATTCGTTGTTAAAAGAAAAACTTAGTTGGGCACAGTGGCTCACAACTGGAAATCTCATCTACTTAGAAGACATGGATCAGAAAGATCATGGTTCAAGGCGAGCCTAAGCAAATAAATAAACAAACTTATTGAGACACCATCTCAACCAATAAAAAGCTAGCTGCAGTGGCATACCCTTGCCATTTCAATGAAGCAGGGACTGTAAATAGGAGGATCACAGTCCAAGCCAGCCCAGGAGACCCTATTCTCAAAAAATAACTAAAGTAAAAAGGGTTGGAGGATTGTCTAACTGCCTAGAAAGCACAAGGCCCTAAATTCAAAAGGAAAAAATTTTTTTACAATGACCTAAGCACATGCTGAAAGTTTCATGTGGGATCCCATGTAGGACCAAAGGCGGAGCAATTTTTGTAGCTGATGTCAAGAATTAAATGAAGCCGCCTCTTAGACCTAGCTCAGTGCCTTCCACAAAGAAGTTAACAGTTAAAGTAGTTAACAGTTCTTGGTCTGTTTGTTGAGACAGGGTCTTACTACCTAGCCCAGGCAGGCCTCAAACTCCCAATCCCCCTGCCTCAGCCTCCCAAGTACTCGGATTTCAGGTGTGTGTCACTACACTTGGCTTGTTTTATGGATCTTATGAAGTTGGGCTATTGCCCCCCTTTTTGGGTGGGAAAACTGAGGCTTAGAAGGGAAGTCATTGGCCAGCATCAGTGGTTCACATCAAGGGCTGACTTCCTAGTGCTGAGCAACAAAGCCAGTGCCTGCGGCAGGCCTCACATGCCTGCCAGCCGTTCTGTTTGCTATGTGACCTCGAGGAGGTAAATGCACCTATCCCTGGTTCTCGGGCCCCTTGGTGAGGACCCGACGCAGGGGTAAAGGGCACGGAGCAGCTGTGTGTCTCAGTGCCCGCTTCTCAATGAACTTGAGTGTCCCCATTGGTTCATAGCTTCCCGGCGTGGTGAGCCCCTGCCTTGTTCGCCTTTGCAGCCTCTTGTTTACCCCCTACGATGGCCACGGGAGCCCTGGGCCCAGTCTGTCCTCGGCGACCGTCTGTGAGCCAGCACCGACCTCGGCAGGGCCACGGGAGCCTTTCTGAGGAGCAGGAGCCCAGGGCAGGAAGCTCACTCACTTGTCCAGCTTGGCATCGATCTTGAGTTTGTCCCCTTCCACGGAAAATGAAGCCAAGAGGTCTGTATTCTGGGGGGAAAGGACGGGAGCAAGACATCACGCCATCATACCAGGAACCCTGAACAGGGCAGGGTTCTGTTTGTTCCCTGTTTCTCTGATGAATGTGAGACCCCTTCAGCAGATAGGTTCCCCTCCAGAGGAGAAAGACGTGGCCGCCATTAACTTGCAAGTAGATAACGGTAAGGCTGAATAAACATTTCTCAGACACAAATGCCACAGGGTCCTGGGAACAAAGACCAAGTCCCTCAGAGAGGGGAGGGTGGCTCGCAACCTATGAACTTTGCTTGAGATGAGCTTCTGCATTTGGGATTGGGCAACACCACTGCCAATCATAACTGCTCCCACACTAAGGGAGGGTCTAAAAGGCCCAGATGCATCCTTCTCTGTAAGCAGAGGCTTTGTTGTAAGGAGAAAAAAAATCCCTTTTTTGTTCTCTCGAGCCTCACCTAAGAAATCAGATGAAATAAAATAAAAGGTTAGCTTTGTGAAAATAAAAGTATACTCCCAGCAAACTCAGGTGCCAGTGTTAGTGATGACAACAGTAATTATCACCATGGAAAAGACCAACGGCCCCCGGTGTTGGTGGCAGGGACTCAAGACGCTGTGGGAAACGGTCTTTGAGATTTGGTGTTTGAATGGAGGACTGAAGGCTGAGTGTTGCATTTGTCAGATAAAAAAGTGGATGAGAATGTAACCCAGGCAGTTGTGTGTGTTGCGGGGCGGGGGGGAGTCTGGAAGCATGTACAAAGGTCCTGAGGCAAGAAAGGGGTGACTTTAGAAGGAGCAGAGAAAACAAGGAGACTAGAGGCTTCTTTGCAGCTGAATGGGGCCCAACCTTGGGCCCAAGAAGTCAGGGCTCTGCCCTTAGAGTGTAATGGAAAGTTACAACCCCATAGCTACCTGCAGGCCCTATGTGTTCATGAAGAACATAAAGAAATAGTGTTCTTCTGTTGGAACTGGCATGCAGGTCCCCTGCTAGGTACCAGGGAGAAGAGCAGGCACCATGCGCTGTTATTCTTTATTCCCCAGCTTCTCACACAGGAAGTGCCCACTAAACACCTCCCAACAATGAACACATGACCATGATCCGCTCTGACAGCACCGAAGGACACAGCCTAGAACTGAAAACAGCTAACGGGGGCGGGGGGGGGAGCCTTAATACCCCAGCTCATGACTGCCCTGCTGCCACCCCCACATAGTAGAGAAGAAAAAAAACAGGCTGGGAGACAGGGAAGCTTGCCCACGTGGAGGGGTCTGGGGGTCTCAGGAGACCACAAGGCCTGGCCACCACGTGCACAGCTGCATCCACTTACCACATCGAGGAGGCAGATGGTGGTCTCCACGTCGTTGGGCTGGGAGACTATGACCTCAGAAGTGGCAAACACCTGCACTAGTGCCTTGTCCTTCTGCAGTGTCACCGACGGTGGCTTGGGTACCTGGATCCTGATGGTGAGCGGGCAGGACTCGGGGTATTGCTGGAACACCTGTGGACAGCACCAGCCGGTGGGCGGGGCTCTGCGCAGCTGGCAGTTCCTGGGAGGGGCAGTAGGCAGCTAACCTCCAACCACAGAGCCCCGGACTCTGCCACTGGGAACCTTCAGATCCGAAAGCATTGCTTCGTGCTGTCACGTGGAGTGAGGGCTGTGCTTGCTGAGCCCGCACATGGGACAAGAAAGTCTACACCTGGCACACCACACAGTGAAAAGCGAAGAGATGGCCCAGGCCGCCCCGGCACCACAGTCACCAGGTCCCTCTGGAGCCACGGGGGGGGGGGGAGCTGAGCGAAGAGATGGCCCAGGCCGCCCTGTCACCACAGTCACCAGGTCCCTCTGGAGCCACGGGGGGGGGGAGCCTGAGCCCTTCCTGTACATGGGATCTCCCAACGCGGATTTGCTCAGGGGTCAGTGTCTCCCACATAACCAGTGTGGCCTATGTACTGAACACTGGGCTTACAAAAAGCATGAATTTTAAGACATACTCTTCTTAAATATATCAAATGAGCACAGGTGCACAAAACCACGGAATTAGTTTTAAAGGGAACCAAAGAAGCTCTTTATACAGAAGCTTTGTAACTGTGATTCTGCTTGGCGGGGCTGGCCCCTGAGAAGACTCTTTTTCTCACACACATGCAAGCTGAAATCCTGGGCCAGCTCTTGGACGATTTAGTCAATATAGCCATCTGATCATTCTCCGGATTCATCCTTAGTTGAAAGATTGGCTTTCAACAAACACGATTAGATGCATGCTTTTCATAGGGGATCTTCGAGATGCTTCTCAGGAGTGGTCTGTGTCCGAACTCCCCAAACTGGACCAAGCACTTTTCCTGCCTTTGAAGAGACGTTCCCCCCTCCCCGACCCGGGCACCTTGCCCTGTCCCCACATGGGACCAGAGAAGTCCCACCACAACCTCAGGTCAGTCAAGCCTCCACTCAGCCCGAGCCTGAAGAACACCTTTCTCCAGTTCAGCCTGACAGCCCCATGACTCTCTCTCCATGGGGTTCTGGTCCCTCCTGGCCCCATGAAAGGAAGGTGAGAACCAGAGGAAAGAGAGGATTCTAGAAGATCCTAAGCTGTAAAATGCCCTGTGCATAGGAAATGATCCGATGAGGAAGAGGTCCTGGGATGGAGAGGTCCACCCTCCCTCCCCGCCCCCAGCTGCTACTTTCTGATTGCAGACACCGGCGTTTCTGCCGTTTTTGTTTCAACCACATGGGGGCGATAGTGATCACTAGTCCAGTTTGGTCTCAGACATGTGGGGAGGGGAGGAGGGAAACCTTGCATCCCACGGAGGCTCCTTTTCTGCTCCTTGAACTAGACAGGGTGTGAGGAAAGCGAGGGAGCGGACTGCAGCGTCCTTCACCCCGCCGGGTGGCACCTCCTACACACACAGCGCTTCGCCGCCGGTTGCAGGGTAATGAGCCAGACCTGCAGTCAGAAAGGCCTTGGCTTCACTGTATATTGCCACTACTTGGACAAGAGCATATGTGCTCTGTGTGTGTGTGTGTGTGTGTGTGTGTGTGTGTAAATGTAACCATCAACAACAGCATAAACGTTTGCCAGACATCTGCTCTGGGCCTGGGTTACAGACTCCAGGTCCACAGCGGCCCTGCAGGGTGAACGCTTTGTACCCATTTTCCAGATGGGAACTGAGGCTCAGGCATGAAAGTCATTCCACTGTGGGAATATGGCTGGGATACGCTGAGCCATGCCTGTCATCTGATCTCCCCTGCGCCTGGGTGTGCCTGGCCTGTGGGCATCTTTACCTGCCATATCGCTCTCCCCAGGGAGGAAACCTACCTGTAGAAGGGTGTTAGTGTTTTGTTTTGTTTTGACAAATGAGGAGACTAGGGTTCAGAGATGTTAAGGCATTTTTCGAAAGTCACACAGCAAAGGAGTATTCAGGTCAGGATTAGACCTGAGCAGGTGGGCCCACTGCCAGAAGTCAAGGTTATATGCGCCTCGGCCCTCCGCACTGTGTGTACCCTCCTGGGGTGGGGGCTGCCTCCTCGCCTTTGTCACCGTACCCCATGGGGTTTCTGGGGCCGTTAGATGAAGAGAAAATGGCTAACCACAAGCCCCCCACCTCCACAGGCTTACTTACGTACCTTGGGAATGAGGGCCCCCAGCGTGGACGTGGTGAGTGGAGGAAGCTCTTCAAACTGTGGGGCAAGGACAAAGCGTCAGGCGAGACCCCGGTGACAGGGACAGACAGGACTTGCTGATGCTCGTTAAGACAGCCCACAGCTAAGACAGCCCACAGCTAAGACAGCCCACAGCTAAGACAGCCCACAGCTAAGACAGTCCACAGCTAAGACAGTCCCTCCCCTCCTGGAACAGCCCTGGGGAAGCCCCGCTTCCCAACAGCAGCCACCGTGAGCGCCACGTGGCAGTTTCATGGCTGAGTGGACAGGGCCAGCCATAGGTGCTCAAATCTTTCCTTTTTTTGGGGGGGGGTCCGGTCGTGGGGCCTGAACTCTGGGCCTGGGCGCTGTCCCTCAGCTCTTCAGCTCAAGGCTAGTGCTCTACCACTTGAGCTTCCGGTTTTTCTCTTTTTGCTTATGTGGTGCTGAGGAATCGAACCCAGGGCCTCAGGCATGCAAGGCAAGCGCTCTACCACTGAGCCACCTTCCCAGCCCCCAAATCTTTCTTTTCCAAAACAGTCATTCTTTTCTAAAGGAAGAGGAGCATGGTCAAGTCCATTTGCATCACCTTGATCCTCAGACCTCCGCCTCCTGAGTAGCTAGGATTACAGGTGTGACCCGCCTAGAAGTGGGATTTGAACCCTGCTCGAATCCACTCATTTTTTTAAGGGCTTAGATGCTAAAAGGTGGGAAGACAGCACACTGGCAGAAGGGGCAGCCGTGGGCCAGTGCCATCGGGGAAAGCAAGGCTGTCACCTGCCACCCCGACGTCTCTGGGGATGGCTCCAGCTGTGGATTCTGTTTCCTTATAACCAAAAGGGACACTTTAAATTGCAAGGGAGAACCCTGCGTGCTGGGGCTCAGTAGAGTGTCGGCTCAGTGGAATCAGACTGGTGAAATGTGTGTCCTATTTTACTTTGAAGAACACTTCATTCTTAGGAGAAAGTGAAATCAGTGGAGCAAAATACCACGTCTCAAAAAAACTGAAATCGGGGCTGGGAAGGTGGCTTAGAGGTAGAGCGCTTGCCTTGCATGCCTGAGGCCCTGGGTTCGATCCCTCAGCACCACATAAGCAGAAAAAAAGCCGGAAATGGCGCTGTGGCTCAAGTGGTAGAGCGCTAAGCCTTGAGCTGAAGAGCTGAGAGACAGTGCCCAGATCCCCACGACTGACAAAAAAGAAAAAACAAAATAGAACAAAAAAAACCCTCTGAAATCGTAGGGCTGAGCATGCTGGCACATGACTGTGATTCTAGCTACTCAGGAAGCTAAAGTAGGAGGATCACAGTTCAAGGCCAACCTGGGATAAAGTTTGCCTGAAATCCTAACTGAAAAATGAAATAAAAGGGCTGTTGGGCACCAGTGGCGCATGCCAATAATCCTAGCTACTTGTAAGCTGAGATCTGAGGACCCAAGTACAAAGCCATCCAGGGAAGCAAATCTGAGAGATTCTTACGCCTGGAGTGGAGGCGTGACTCAGGTGGTAGAACATCAGCCTTAGGTGAAAAAAAAGCATGAGACCTTTATGTTTAGGCCTCAGTACTCACAGACACATACACCAACACGGAAATAGATGGAAATAGAATTAGATAGATGCACAGAGAGCGGTTTCCTCCCTGGGACCGTGGTACCACCTGAGAGCCATGCCAGCCCCCCCAGGCACCGGCTCTGGGAAGCGTGAGGTCTCAGGTACCCACCAGGAACTGGAGCCGAGGCAGCGGTGGCTGTCTGTCCACAGTTCCCCCGAGACCACGGCCCAGGAAGAGGACAGGGGCTGGCCGGCTGCAGGACCTCCTTCCCACTTGGCCCCGACTCACCATGCCATCCGTGATGTCGATGTCCAGGGCACCCTGTTTCTGCAGCATGGTCAGCACAGAGCCCAGGAAGTTGGCAGAGATGGCCAGCTGGGAGTTGGTGTTGTCGCCCATCGGGGGCAGCTCTGGCATCATTGGCCGGTAGGACACTGCTGGCCGGCCCAGCGGGTAGTCGATGAGCTCGCCTCCCGCCTCCCCTACCAGAGTCTGCAGCCGTGGAGAGGGGGGAGGGGGGCAAGAAGGAACGGGGAGAGCTGAGGGCCACACACAGGCCTCAGGACCTCCTGCCCGGCTCAACCTCAGGGGTCTCGGTATATAAGACCCAGGGGTCTCAGTTGCTGTGGCCCCAACTCTTCTCTGGCTGGGGCTGAGGGGACCTCTGGTGGTCCCTGCCCTACAATCACTTAGGGTTACAAGTTCACACATACACAGAGATCTTTCCTTCAGTGCTGATCCTGGGGCTTGATCTCAGGGCCTGGGTGCAGTCCCTGAGCTTTGCTGACTCAAAGGTAGAGCTTTACTGCTTGAGCCATAGTTCCACGTCCAGCTTTTTGGTAGTTAATCGGACAGCACGGTCCTGGTGGCTTACGACTGTAATTGCAGCTACTCAGGAGGCTGAGATCTGAAGATCAAGGCTCGAAGCCAACACCCCCATTCCACACCTCTCTACCTGTTCATGTTCAGCCATGTGGTATTGGGAACTTGAACTTGGCCATGGTGGACATTTAAGCATGGAAAGCAGCAAAGGCTGCCTGTCAGGACTTGGTGAAGACCACAGGGGCTGGTGGTCAGCTGTTCCTCCCCCAGACCCATGCCTGGGGGGTGGGCAGCTGTAGCCACAGAAAGCCGGATTGCCTGGCTTCAGACCCCAGCTCCACATTCACTATCTATATGGCCCTGGGTAAGTGGTGAAACCCCTCAGTGTCTCCATTTCCTCAGGAAGCCACCTTTCTCTCTCGCGTGATTGCTGGGAAGACCAGCGGAATTCACCCCATTATCCAGTGAGCAGATTAGGTAAGTGCTGCCTGCTCCCCAACCCCACAAGTCCCATCCCTCCATCTAGGATGGAGACACTTCCCAGCCAAGCCCAGCAGGCACTCACGTTGAGGTCCAGCTCCAGGAACTCCCCGGTCACCAGTGGCAGGCTGGAAAAGGTGTACTGTATACTTCCCAAGATGCCCAGAGGCACCAGAGCTGCAGGCAGAGGGGAGGGTCACTGGGCACCCTGCCCCCACCAGACACCCTCCCTCCTCCTCGGGCTGGGGATGCAGTGGGGGGGGGGGAGAAATAGGCAAGCAAGGCTCCAGCTCCAGGCTCAAAGAATAAAGGAATGTTCTGAGGTCCAACTCCAGCTCTGCCTCCTGCTTCCTGTGTGACCTCAGGCAGATCACTGAATGCCTCTGGACCTCAGTTTCCTCTGTAAAATGGGTTTCATGTAACCTCTTGGACTCTGTGGTTGGTGTGTAGTGGGGGGTGGTGGTGGTGAGATCCTGGATGTTGATGAGATTTGTAAACTATGAAGGGCAGTGTACCTGGAAGACACTCAGGGCTCCATGATGTGGTACTTAGCTAGATCTGGCATTTCCTCCCTCGGTGAGGAAAGGAGAGTTTAGCGGTCTGGGAAAGACATCTAATCATTGGCCTCACTGTCCATGCGAGCTGCCCTGAGCAGCTGCAAAGACTAAGTAAGCACAGCACAACTTGGGGTGTCCTCATTACTCCAAGGTGGGACTGGGAATTCTGCAGTGCCCAAGTTGCACAACCATGCAGGGCAGCCTTGCTTCCAGGAATGATCACACAGAAGCCTGGGATCAGACGTGGCTTTGCAGCCTGGCTCTGAGAACTCCTTCTGTGTTGCTATTACTCTTCCCTCCTTCTGTGAGTTGATTTTGGAGACAAAGGGACCAGGGAAGGGACGGGAGTTCCTGGAAGATGGCGGAGGAGAAGCTGGAGGCTAAGCAAGCTCTCACATAGAAAGAAGTTTTAGTGTTCCAGTGAATAGTCCTAGGCCAGAGAATTACACCAAGTGTGCCATCACAGTACAGAGAGTTTGGCCAGAGAGGGAAAATCCAGGCAAGGAGACAGATCTGAGAACTTGCCAGCAGCTGTGGCTGTGGCTGCGGCGGCCATAACTGCCATACCTACAACACAGAAAGTCTGGGACAAAGGTGCCAGACGCAGAGCGGATTCTACTCAACACCAGCAAGAACTGACAAGGAGCAGATATCTTCATCCTGCAGATCACAGACCAGAGATGACCCAGGAGCCAACACTCCCGTGAGTGTAGAACTCTGACATCCTCACTCCTTCTCAGGGAGCAGAGGAGGGAAGGCCAACCATCCCTCCCCCTACTACCGGAGATCTCCATCTTTGATACTGACAAAGGCCTGGCTGAGCAGCTAGCTCCAATTCAGGCCTTGGAAGAAAACAAAAGTCTTTCCTTTTCTTGGGTCCAGTCATAGGCTTGAACTCTGGGCCTGGGCACTGTCCCTCAGCTCTTCAGCTCAAGGCTAGTGCTCTACCACTTGAGCCATTTCTGGCTTTTTTTTTTCTGCTTATGTGGTGCTGAGGAATCGAACCCAGGGCCTCATGCATGCAAGGTAAGCGCTCTACCACTGAGCCACCTTCCCAGTCCCCAAAGAGTCTTTTAGTAGGTCACCGGAACCTGACCTGACCTGCCAGGCTCAGCTACACCCAGGGGAAAGTCACCCCACCCAGGCAGAGAAAGCTCTGCCCCTGGAGGGGTGGCTTTCTTCACTGGGTAAACAGAGCCAGAGGCTGCCCCTCCTTACAGCAGCCTTGACAATCAATTGAAATTCAGTAAACATAAATCCTGAGAATGGCTCCAGGCTGGGCTCTGTGAGTGTCTCAGAAGCTAGCCCCTCAGGGAAAAGTTTCTGTTTGCTGAAAGGCCTCAACTCTACCCAGAACCTAGCCTCATCTCCAAACTAGAGGAAACAGCCATCTCCCTCTTTTGTGATACTCAAAGCAGATTTCCGTCCCACTGAACTAGCCTGGGAGGAGGATCACAAAATCCTGGGTAAAGCAGAGCATTTTTCTGCCTACTCAAACAAACTGATTTAAGAAACCAATCAAGCCACAGGAAAACCAAACACCACAAGCAGACCAGAGACTCCACCAAGAGATTGGTTACAGACACAAGGGAGATACAGGATCTTACCATCCACCCCTCCCCGCCCCCCCAAAAAAATCAAAGAACTTTTTTTCTGTACCTTTTAAAAAACTTTTTAAAATTAAATTGTTTTCTATTAATCTTTTTTTTCTTCCTCTTATAATTTTTATTTTAGGTATATATGTGTGTAGGTGCTTTTTAAAAAATCTCTACTGACCTTTTGGTCCTCTTTCTTTCTTTCCTTCTTTCTTTCTTTCTTTCTTTCTTTCTTTCTTTCTTTCTTTCTTTCTTTCTTTCTTTCTGTCTCATTCTTTTTACTTTTTCTTCTCTTTCATTCTTTTTTGCATGACTTAATTGCTGTTCTGCTCATCCTCAGATATACCCATCATCGATTACCAGACCTTATCCTCCATTGTGTACACACTTAATTCAGAAATTTATTACTCAATTCAAAAACTCTTAGGCTTAAATTCCTTAATAGCAGTGTTGTCTGTTTATACCTATATAATATTTTAAGTATTTTTATTTTTTAGTTTTTCATGTTTCCTTTCTATCCTTCCTTTCCTCTCATCCTACCCCTGTTCTTCTCTCAATATTACTTCTTTAAACTTGCATAATTTTAAGTGTTTCACTTTTTAAATTTAAATGTTTGTTCTTCCATTTTTTCTTGTCTCTTTTTTCCTCTTCTCTTTCTCCTACCATTCTGTCCAATCCATTTCCTCTTCGAGATTAGGACTTGGTTAATTTCACTCTCCTTTTACCTTTCCACATCCCTCTAATCCTATTTTTCTCCACATTTCTCCCTAAACCTAATAATTTCTGGTTTTCCAAATTCCTCTTTGCTATTTGTAGCCCATTAATACATAATTGTTTGATGTTGAATAGAGTGTATCTGTTGAACTAGATTGTATCAGCAGACTTTAGACTGTGCAACTACAGGACTTTGGTTGATGCTTGCCTTAAAATAGTGTTCTAGCACAAAACTAGTATTATTTTCATATCAAATGGGCAGAACAAGCTGGAAAAACACAAGAAAAATGGCAAGTCCAGTTATCTCAACTCCCACTCATGATAATCAGGTGACAGAACAGATGATGAATAATCCAGAGGAGAGTTCCCCAAAAGCTCTACAAACACTACTGGTAAACATGGTGAATGAAAAGATTGAAAACCTGCAAAGGACTCAGGATAATGGGTGTAGAGGAGCACCTAGAGACAAAAGTTAATGGTCTAGGAAATTTGTTTAACAGGATCCTAGCAGAGAACTTCCCAAACATGCAAAAAGATAGGCCTATTTAGATACAAGAAGCTTTTGGAATGCCAAATAGACCAGACCAGAACAGGACATCCTAGTGTCACATTATAATCTGCACAGGATCAATTCAGACCAAGGAAAAGATCCTTAAAGCTGTTAAGGAGAAAAGATCAATCACCTATAAAGGGAAACCAATTAGAATCACCTCAGATTTCTCAGCAGACACAATTAAACCAAGAAGAGCCTGGAATGATGCATGCCATGCCCTAAAGACAAACAACCAACAACCAAGATACTGTACCCAGCTAAACTCTCCTTCATAACCAAAGGTCAAATAAAAACCTTCCAGAACACAGAAAAACTGAAACACTATATCTCCACCAAATCAGCCCTATAAAAGATACTTAAAGATGTCCTACACATAGAAAACCAACAAGACTACAATAAAGGCCAAGAAACCTCACCCAAACTGAGAATCTAAGAACCATAGGAAGAACCCAGTTGCCGCAGTACCCAAGAAGGTGGATAAAATGGCAGGAACTCCCAAATACCTCTCAGTCCTATCTCGCAACATTAACGGACTTCACTCTCCAATTAAGTGACATATACTGTCTAGTTGGATTAAAAAGCAAGATCCTTCTATCTGCTGCCTTCAGAAGTTACACCTTGCTCAAAAAACAAACACATTTTGAAGGTGAAAAGCTGGAACAAAATCTACCAAGCAAACGGCCCCTATAAACAGGCAGGAGTTGCAATCCTAATATCAGATAAAATAGACTTCAAATTAAAATTAGTGAGAAGAGATAAAGAAGGTCACTACATACTAATTAAGGGATTTCTCCTTCAGGAGGACATTACAATTCTAAATATCTATTTGCCAAACAGCGGAGGACCCAAATTTATCCCAGAAACACTACGTTCCCTCAAATCTCACATAGACCCAAAGACATTAATTGTTGGGGACTTTAACACACCACTATCCCCACTAGATAGAGAGCAACTCAGCAAAAACTCAACAGAGAAACCACAGATCTAAACAACTACATAGATCAACTAGATTTAACAGACATCTACTGAATATTTCACCCAGCAGCATCAGAATACACGTTTTTCTCAGCAGCACATGGAACATTTTCCAAAATAGACCACATTTTAGGTCACAAAGCAAACTTGTCCAAATTCAGAAACATTGAAGTTATGTCTTGCATTCTCTTAGACCACAAAGGAATAAAATTAGAACTCAACACCAAAAGCCACCAAAGAAAGTCCTGAAACACATGGAGGCTGAACAACACACTATTGAATCACCAATGGGTCATGGAAGAGATTAGAAACAAAATTCAAATGTTCATGATATTCAACAAAAATGAGCACACAAATTACCAGCTCCTCTGGGACACAGCAAAGGCAGTACTCAGAAGCAAGTTTATAGCTCTGAGTTCCTACATCAACAAATTGGAGAGATCTAAAACCAAAAATTTAATGAGACATCTGAACCTCCTTGTAAAAGAGCAGCAAGATAAATCACAATCCAGTAGATGGAAAGAAATAATTAAAATTAAATCAGAATTAAACAAATTAGAATAAAAAAACCATAGAAAGAATCAACAAAACAGTTGGTTCTTAGAAAAATTAACAAAATTGACAGACTCTTATCAGAAAAAATCTTATCAGAAAAAGAACACACCCAAATAAATAAACTCAGAGATGAGAATGGAAACATCACCACAGAAACAACCAAGATTCAGAACATTATAAGGGAATACTTCTCAAACCTTTATGTTAATAAGTTTGAGAACTTGGCAGAAATGGACCTTTTCCTAGCAAATATTGACAAGCTGAAACTAAAC